GCTTGGTCATACTGGACTACGTACGTCCCCTGATCCTTGGGCCCTGGAGCTTGGTCATACTGGACTACGTACGTCCCCTGACCCTTAGGCCCTGAAGCTTGGTCATACTGGACCACGTACGTCCCCTGACCCTTGGGCCTTGGAGCTTCCATTTGGGCCCGTAGTAGATGATATTGGGTGGTCCTTAAAGGTTGATGGGTCGACCCTTGTTGGGCCATTAAGGTTGTTTTTACTTGGACTGTAATTCGTCCCAGACCAGACCAGACTGGACCAGACCAAAACAGACCAGACCAAACCAGACTAAAACAGACCAGACCAGACCATATTTTATTATTATTATTATTATTATTATTATTATTACTACTACTACTACTACTATTATTATTACTATTACTATTACTATTACTATTATTATTATTATTATCATCATTATTATCATCATTATTATTATCATTATTATCATCATTATTATCATTATTATTATCATCATTATTATGATCATTATTATGATCATTATTATCATCATTATTATCATCATTATTATGATCATTATTAGTATCATTATTATTATCATTATTATCATTATTATTATCATTATTATTATCATCTTTATTAGCATCATTATTATCATCTTTATTATCATCATTATTATCATCTTTATTATCATTATTATTATCATCATCATCATCATGATTATTATTATTATTATTATTATTATTATTATTATTATTATTATTATTATTATTATTATTATTTGGGGTGTGCACCGGTTCAAAACCCGGACCGGACCGTACCAAACCGGACCGGATATCATTCCGGTTCGATGCGGTTCCGGGTTTTCCGGTCCGGTTCGGTCCGGTTTTCCGGTTTAAACCGGATAGTGCACACCCCTAATTATTATTATTATTATTATTATGATTATTATTATTATTATTATTATTATTATTATTATTATTATTATTATTATTATTATTAGGGGTGCGCACCGGTTCAAAACCGGACCGGACCGTACCGAACCGGACCGAATATCATTCCGGTTTGATCATGTTCCGGTTTTTCCGGTCCGGTTTTCCAGTTTAAACCGGCTAGTGCACACCCCTAATTATTATTATTATTATTATTATTATTATTATTATTATTATTATTATTATTATTATTATTATTATTATTATTATTATTATTATTATTATTATTGTTATTATTATTTGGGGTGCGCACCGGTTCAAAACCGAACCGGACCGTACCGAACCGGACCAGATATCATTCCGGTTCAATCCGGTTCCAGTTTTTCCGGTACGGTTCGGTCCTGTTTTGTGGTTTAAACCGGATAGTGCACACCCCTAATTATTATTATTATTATTGTTATTGTTATTATTATTTGTAATTATAAATGAATAAATTATAATTATTTATGGATTATAATATATATAAAAAAATAAAATCTTTATTCAAAAAATATAAAAATAAAATTTCAGACCAGACCAGACCAGACCAGACCAGACAAGAACATGGATGACAAGTTAGAGGATAGTGGCCAATCACAACTTTGTAGTCATTTACATTTCTTGACCATTACAATTATATTGGTATGTTCTTTGACGCAATTATGACCTTATCTAATAGTTACTTCGTATTTTTTATCTGAATTGGGGGCATGAGTTTTATAATTAATAAACAATAATATTAAATTGTGGTGTTGGAAGTAGGGGTGAGTTCGGTTCAAACGGTTAGGCTTTCACCTAAAACCAAATGCCGAATCAAAGCAAAAAGTTCGATTCGAATCGGTTCGGTTTTATGTTCAAAAATTTGGAACCACAATTTGTTCGGTTCAGTTTATTTTGGTTTAGTTTTGGTTTTTCGCGTTTTGCCAAAATATTTTTGTTGATTAAGAAAATAGTAATTGGAAAACAAAAAAACTATAATTAATAGCAATATAATACAAAAACATAAATAAAAAGGAGAGATGAAACAAATGCACTTACAAGCAATGAATTATAGAGTACGTGCATACAAATTTAAACATTTTCTAAATTAAATAAAAGCATGACTTTATTTTTGAATTATATATAGTGAATTTGCAAGTTAAAATTTTATTAGTAAATGTTGTGTCAACTAATTCATTTTCTTTTTTACTAAAAGAATTTTCTTAATAGTAAATAACTTATTCAACTTTCTTTTTGGGCAAAGTTATTTATGCTCTAAAGTTTCACGTTTTCAGCTATGTTGTTTAAAGTACAATTTATATTAATACATATTTGTTCAATATAAAAATAATTATGTGATAACAAACATACATAACAAATAATATATCAACAAAATATCATTGTCATGCAACAAGTAAAATGTAAACTACGATTTAATATATATTAATTAACATATTAGTATTACAACAATAGACTTAAGTGTATGTACAAGCGTTTCACTTAATTAAATCATAAATATTAAATGTCAATATCTTGCAAATCATAATAAATCTAGTATAAAACATTAATTTTCTAGAATTAAGAATTAACAACTAAACAAAATATTATTATACTTGATGATTAAAAAATAACACCCCAAGTTTTAAAAAGTTCGATTAGTTCAGTCCAGTTTTGAGATGTGAAAACCAAAATCAGAACCAAACAACTACGGTTCGATTCGGTTTTTTGAGTTTGGTTTCAGTTTTCTTGCGATTCGGTTGTTTTGGTTGCGGTTAGGGTTTTTTCGATTCAGTTTTCGATTTTCAGTTTCACCGACCCACTCGTAGTTGGGAGCGGAGACACGTGCCCCCACCACTCCGAGGTCCTCCATTGAGTGGCTCCCCTCTCCCACACCTGTTTTTCCCCTCCAACTAACAATAGTTCCCAAAGTAAGAAAATGAGTTAATTATCGGTTTAGGACGAAAAGAGGGCTGATGTTCACAAATAAGACCAAAATACAAACGTATGTTTCATAGGACATATAATCATCTGCTTGAGCATAAATGCGCCCATTCAGTTATCATTTGAATTTATAAATAAAAATGTAAAGAAAAAATCTAATGAAACCTAAACTCTCAACATGAGCAGTTCCGCGACCCTCGATGCCGCTGCTGCCTGCCCCCACCTCATTAGTGCCGCCTGCCGTTGCTCACCGGTGCCGCCTGCGCCATTTCGCCGACGTCGTTGTTGCCGCCGCCACGTCAATGCGGCCGTTGCTGTCGTGTCGCCCCAACCACCGTTGTCATCCTCCACCGCCGTCACCACTCATTCTGGTAGCTGTCAATGCCTGTTAGCAAAACAACCATGAGAGTTAGATTTGGAAGTCACCACTGCAACTGCAAACCCCACCATCACCTCCACAACACCAATGCCACAAATCTACCATTAAGTTGGCAGATTTGGTCTTCAAGATCAATTTAAATCTTCCATTTCTATGGACTCTTAAATCTGCCAACAAAGTTCGTAGATTTATATTGGAAGAATAACACAAAACTGCCATAAATTTGGCAAACATATGAACTCAACAACCAAATATTCAAAAAGTATTTTTTTCAAAAGAATAAACACTTTATTACAATCAAAAATAAAAAATACGCATCCAGTGACCAAAAAATTAAAAACCGATTTACACAAAATCTATTTTGCCATAATCGATTGTCAGTGTGCACATTTCTGCCATAAATTTGGCAAAATCTTATGCCATCATCCAATATTCCAGCAAATAAGGATTTTTTTAAAAAAGTAAAAATCTAAATAAAAAATACAAAATAGATGTCCAAAAATCGACCAATTGAATGCCAAAACTCATAAAAAACAGAAGAATATGAGTAAAATTTGAAAAATCAATGTTAAAAATCAAAATCAAAAGAAGAAGCTGAAGTAGTATAAGAAGAAGGATAAGGAGAAGGAGAAGGAGATGAAGTGAAAAACCTGAAATTCAGAAGAAAATAAAAACGAAGATGGTGGAAGGCGGAGGCGATGAAAACAAAGACAAAAGCGATGCAGGCGGAGCAGCGAAGGTGGTCTGCGACGAAGGTGGCCTGCGATGAAATCGGCAAATCTGCGCAAGGAAGAAGGTGAGATGCGTCTGCAGTGAGCCTTTGATTGCATCTAGAGAAAGCAAAGATCAATTGTTTGGAGAGAAAAGCTACTAGAAAGGGGTAAATAAGTGCAGGGGTATAAAAATGGGATGCTAATTTTAGTATGTTTCAAAATAGGAGTAGATTGATCCTATTTGGGAATAAAAACATGAAAGGACCTATTTTTGAATTTCAGCCCGCTTTTAATCCTATTTGGGTTAATTTCTATAAGAAAATTATAAGTCAAGAATTTTATTTTAAACATGGGTGCGCTAGAAATGGTCTTATATAGTAGGCACTTCGGTTAATTTTCTTTTTGGTTGCAAGAGAGGAAGGGTTGATATTGCTCTCTCATTGTTTTATTTTTTTTGTTTGTCTCATTAAATTTATCTCATATTACATTTATTAGCCGTTACTGACGCATTTCTAATTCATCATTATCATTTTACTCATACTTTATCAATTACATACCAATGACGATGTTTTCTTAAAAACCAACACAACGGGGGAAGGAGATCCTACTCGTGGGCCTCGTGGCGGTAATTGTTACACCCTAGCCTCCGTCGTGCTAAAATCGACTCATCTATTCATCTATCTATCTTTGTCGCTGCTTGCTACTAAAATTAGAAAGGAAACTTTACTCATTGCAAGTTGACGGGAGTGAATCTCATACCAGAATCGAAAAAGAGGAACCCCAATTGCTTGCGACGAAAGGCTCTCTGAATTTGTGATATTTGAACGTGCGTAGGAGAAGGATGACAAAAGAAGATACCCAAGTAAAGTGTATTCCACTTATGCGAATTATGAGGTAATTACCAATACTATGTGGAAAAAGAACCTCTCCTTTTTTTGCTTAGCCTGGACACTGATTGACCACTTTACGTGCTTGCGTCCGTCCGTACGACATATACTATTATCTTCTTTCATTCCTAGCCTTTCAAAATATTCCCACTCCCATATCAAGTGTATAAATAGATCGACCAAATTGAAGCTAGCCTAAGGCCTTATTCATTTATCTTCAAAGCTAAGCTAAGCCAACTCTCCTAGCTTTCCTTAAACACCCCATTGATCGAACAGATAATGGTGAAGGTATGTATCATCCTTCTTGCTGTGTGTTAGTTAGAAGTAAACACTAGTAGAAAAACCCCAATTTGCGGCGGTTGTAAAGCTCCACGCGTGGCGGTTTTGACCGCCACAGCGGAACGTGACGCAAATTTTTTATGTTGTGCTTCAAATCGATATTTTCCCACTAAGCTAGCTAGAAGTATCATTATAAATTCACATTAATGATCTCTATTTTTCGGCCGTACATTTAAATTGATGAACATTTTGTTTGGGTTTTTTGGCAGCAAAAGGCAGTGATTAGTGTCACTATGAGAGATGAGAAAGCTCGAATCAAAGCACACATGATTGCCGTTCGCCAATCAGGTATATACATATACTCCGTATGATATATATGTAGCTCGATCATAAATAGTACTCTGATCCGTATGTGTTATAATGCTACTTTTTCTCCCTTCAATTTACATTTGCTAGTCATATATGAGACATTTACGAATGTTTTAGTTACATATAGATAAATTTTCCATTATATATAGGGGTAATTTGAGTTTGCACCCCATAATATTGTTTAAATTGGATTTTGAATCCCGTTTTTAAAAATCTTTGTTTTTGCACCCCAACCCCATATGAAAAGACTAAAATGCCCCTTCATTAACAATTATGTTGACCTTCAACATATTCTTGATTGAGGGCATTTTTGTCTTTTCATATGGGGTTGAGATGCAAAAACAAAGATTTTTAAAAATGAGGTGCAAAGTCCAATTTAGACAATAATATGAGGTGCAAACAGTGGCGGACCCAGGAAGTCGGAGCCACGGGGTCCCTACCCTTACATATCTTTGATCTCTAATTAAATAAAAAAATATTAAAGAAGCATAACACTTCAAAGTTAACGTACACCATCAAAACATTAAGATATATTATAAAGCAAAAACTTACATATAAAAGTCATTCAACATTTTTATAGATGTACTCTCCTAGGCTTCATTTGTTGGAAATATTCTATAATAGAATCATCACTAATAGTACCAAAAACATCTCTCTCAACATATGTAACTAAGCAATCATTCAACCATTGATCGCAGATCTTGTTGCGCAACTCATTCTTCACAAACTTCATACTTGAAAACGCCCGTTCAACACTTGGTGTAGCTACTGGGAGAAGTAGAGATAACTTAATAAGTGTATACACGTGCTGATATGTGAGATGCTTCTTCGTGGAAACCATTTCAATTGAAAGGTCTAATAAACCATTCAAATCAGAAAATCTATTATCAGAACGGACATCTAAAATATAATTCTCAAGCTGATTCTCGAGTATCTTTTGATCAACGTCAGAAAACTCTTTTGGATAAAATTCTGCCAATTTAAGCAAAGATGCCCTATCTCATTTGCTTAATAATTTCATGAACAGTTAGAAATGCACAAGCATAACACAAGTCCTTTTGAATTTTGGGTGAAGTCATCTGATTGTTTTGTGGAGCATTTTTTAGGACTCTATCTATCTCAGAATCATGTTGTCTCAAAAGATCTAAAGTCTCAAGAAAATGACCTTTATAACTAGACGCTATTGATTCGTCATGACCCCGAAATGGCAAACCCCCACAAAGAAGAAATCTAGTGCACTCAAGTGATGCCTTCAAGCGAATAAGGTAATCAGACTTTGCTTGTTCAGATTGTTTCACAAAACATGCTCCAATACTTTGTTTTTGGTTCATCAAATCTTCCAATCTTTTCACCGCATTGTAATGAGGACTGTTAGGTTTACCAACATGTAAATAGAATCTATCTTTTTTATTCCATGCTGAAAACCCAATTCCCACAAAATGATCACCCCCAACTTCCCACTCATTCTTAAACAAATAACATGGCAAACAAAATGCAGCATCTTTAGCAATACTGTATTCCAACCATTTATGCTCATCAAACCAACTTGAAACAATTCTACGTTTTTTGCCTCCAATTAACTTAAAAGGGAAATCATGGTCCCGAGGTTGAAACGGTCCTTTTTGAATGTAACTACGACGTACCTCGTCTTGAACATTAGGGTGAAAATCAACAATTCTTTTTCTCAATCCAGGATCAGCTTCCAAAGATTCAAAATCCTCATGTTGTTCAGGTAGATTATAAGCCAAATTAGCTTCACTTTCAGCAATTACTTGATCCAATTCTTCATTTACTAATGGCGGATCATTTGAATTAACACCCGAACTACTCCCGGTACTTTGAGTTTCTTTAAATTTGGGTACAACGTCAAAATATATTTTCATCCTAAATCATATAAAATTGAAAATAACATTTATAAATACATGAATTTATTAATTTAATCTAACATTAAAAAAAGATATGCAAAGAAAAGCAATTAAAAGCAATTTAAACATAGAAATTGAAATTTGAAATCCCTAATTTTTGAGCATATAGAAAATACAACAAAAAGCTTGAGATTTGAGAAACTCCATTAATGGAGAAAAGAAAAGAAAGTACCTTCACTACCTTGGGCTTCGCCGCTTCGGCAGTTCGGACTTCGGCCGCAGCTCGCAGGGACGCAGGTCGGCACTCGGCAGGGAGAGGGAGGCCGCAGCCGCAGGGGACGCAGGGAGCTTCTGGCTTCGGAATCGGACAATCGGTTGGGGACTTGGGACGCAGGGAGCTTCCGGAGTCGGAATCGGTTGGGACTGAGCGAGGAGTTGCTGACTTGCGTGAAAGGAAAAGGAGTTGGTGGGTTGGGTCTTTTGTTTTGGGCTTAAATTGGACTGTGACTTTCCTTAAAGACAAAAAAAAAAGGCCCAAAAAAATTTATTCACAGAGGGGATTCGAACATGGTACCTCGTGTAGCGTAGATATGTTGCTTCCAGGCGTGTTCCCGTTCGGCTATATCATCTTTATTGTTCCTAAGTTGTTTTTTGTTTAAATATACATTAAATAAGTAATTTTAAATAATATATATATATAATATATATAGGGTTTTTTCCCGAGGTCCACGGGGTCCCGGGACCCCTTGGGACCCTTAGTGGGTCCGCCACTGGGCGCAAACTCAAATTACCCCTTGTATATATAGACTCACACAACGAATCCTAAACTCACACAACGAATCCTAAACGTGTCCATTTTTTTTCCTTTAAGGAGTTGTTTCGGCTTCGGTGGAACAAGAGAAGGGGCTGATAGAGGTGGTCGGCGAGTTCGATGCGGTGGTACTGACGATCGAGTTACGGAAGAAACTTGGCCATGCTGATATATTGACGGTGGCGGACGTGGTTGAGAAAAAGGAAGAAAAGAAGGAAGAAAAGAAGGAAGAAAAGAAAAAAGAAAAGAAAAAGGATGATGGCCAGCCAAAACCCCAAAGTATGATGGTCATTTATGATCCTTCTGGTTTTCGGCCACCACCTCCCTACTACTACACTTATCCAGTTGATGGTTATCAATATGCAGCAGGATAATATTGTAATTATTCCTGCACTGGTCTTGAAGCTTTTAATTTTTTTAATTTAATATTAATGTCAAGATCGAGCCAATTCAAAGACAATTGAAGGCTTGGATAGGTGGCTATTATTTAGCTTCTTGGAATATATTTTTATGGAGTTCAACTATGCCCAATTTCAACGGGATATAATTTGGAATTTTACATTTTATATTTATTCATTTATAATAAGTTGGACAGTTGGTCACTGATGAATGCTGAATAATAAAAAGATAGAGGTATATGTAGTCATTTACCTTTTTTGATCATTACAATTATCACTATGTTCTTTGACGGAATTATCACCTTATCTGAATAGGAGCACGAGTTTTAATTGTACTACTCCCACCGTTCCATATTTCACTCCGATTTTGATCTGACACGGATTTTAGGATAGTGAAATTTGTGTGGTAGAGAGTTATGCAGAGGAGAGAGAAATGTGTAAGAATGGTTGTGAACCACATATTCTTTACCAAAAAGGGAAAAAGAAGATAAATTTGGGACGGACCGAAAAGGAAAGAATGAAGATAATTTCGGGACGGAGAGAGTACATAATTAATAAGCACTAATATTAAATTGTGGTGTTGGAAGCGGAGACACGTGCCCCCACCACACAGGTCCTCCACGGACTAGCTCCCCAACAATAGTTTCCAAAGTAAGAAATTTATAAGTCAAGAGTTTTATTTTAAACATTAGAAATAATTACATATATATCACTAAAATGAAGATTATTTAAAAAAATGTGACTATTGACTACAGTAGTAATGAAATCATAGTTACTTATGTTCAAATTTTTAGTTTAAGTTACTATGACATTACATTGTAGTAATTATTAGTCATATTTGTGTAAATAAGTTTTATTTTAGTAAATTTTTTGAAAAAATATCTAAACATTTTAGTTTTTTTGACTCTGATATGCAGTAATTAGTAGTGCATAAATGTATATTTTTATGTTTGGTTTGTGTGTATTGTTTATCGTTTTATTTAGTTTGTAAACATTTGTGTGATTCAAGTAATAATTGTATTTAATTTAATCTTCATTTGTAAGTTGGAAAGTAGAATTAGGAATTATGGTGTTGAAAAGGATGACTTTGAAGTGAAGAAAAAGGAGTGATGGATTATAGGTATCCAAGTATATATAAAATAGGAGAGATTTGAACATGTAGAGAGGAAGATGAATGAATAGTGAATTGTGAAATTATGTTCTAGGGTTACAAATGGCTCCAAGAGGAGTATAAATAGGGAAATAATGGGTCGGGCCGCTAATATGGGCCCGGTAGCCCAACTACATAAAAGACTAATCTAGTATATAGTTACATACAAATGACATATAAGCAGTACAATAATACAAATGATATCCGTAAGATGTGTGTGGGCCGCTGTCCGGGCCCAATAGTCGTGAGACCCGGGGGTCCGAGTCTATATACTCTATCAGGAGTCCCCCACTCTCTAAGTCGAGAGTATTCGAGGCGAAAGAGAGTAGAACTGTGTGCTGATCTGTCGCCGTCTGGTGAGTAAACTTCATGAACAAAAATTTGAATTTCTGCTTCTTTGGTTAACGGAGACGCTAAGTCCCCCGCTCTTCCAGTCCCCCACTCCTTGAGGCGAGTGTAATGAGGTGAAGAGGAGTAGAGTAATGCGTGTCGGATGATGTCTTCAACAGGGGGCCGAGGGTTGACACCTTTTGATCCACGATGGGGAGATGCCTCGTTAAAAACCTCATTAGGAAAAACCCTGTGGGAAAAAATCCTAATGAGGGAAAAAGAGTACACCGGATGCCCCCAAAATGAAACAAAAGGTGCGAGCCCTTCGGCCTGGAGATGGAGCTGCAGCGGTGCCCGTCTGCTGGATGGTCGAGGCCGATCTCTAGATGTGGGTAGCTCATCATGATCAGTAGTCCTAGTCATCAAATAAAGATGACTAAGGGATGGGTCGAGCGACCGTCCACAATATGATGTCTGGTTCATCAAATAAAGATGACCAGAACGTAAGGCCGATGGGCCGAGAGGCCTGTACGAGAGCTCCACGTTGTCGCATAAGGACGGTGAGGCGATGTATGGCCGAGGGACCTGCATAGAGCTCCACGTCGTCAAATAAAGACGACGAGGCGATGGTGTGGCCGAGGGGCCTGCATAAGAGCTCCACGTCGTCAAATAAAGACGACAGGGCGATGGTGCGGCCAAGGGGCCTGCATAAGAGCTCCACGTCGTCAAATAAAGACGACGGGGTGATGCGGCCGAGGGGCCTGCATAAGAGCTCCACGTCGTCAAATAAAGACGACGGGGTGATGGTGCGGCCGAGGGGCCTGCATAAGAGCTCCACGTCGTCAAATAAAGACGACGGGGCGATGGTGCGGCCGAGGGGCCTGCATAAGAGCTCCACGTCGTCAAATAAAGACGACGGGGCGATGGTGCGGCCGAGGGGCCTGCATAAGAGCTCCACGTCGTCAAATAAAGACGACGGGGCGATGGTGCGGCCGAGGGGCCTGCAGAAGAGCTCCACGTCGTCAAATAAAGACGACGGGGTGATGTATGACCGAGAGAGGCCTATATGAGAGCTCCACGTCATCGAATAAAGATGACGGGGCGACGTATGGCCGAGAGGCCTACATGAGAGCCCCACATCATCAAATAAAGATGACGGGGTGATGTATGGCTCAGAGGCCTATATGCGAGTGCCATGTCATCAAATAAAGATGACGGAGCGAGATATGGCCGATGGGCCTGTAAATGAGCTTCGCGTCATCAAATAAAGATGACGAGGCGATATATGCCTGATGAGCCTGCAACTGAGCTTCGCGTCATCAAATAAAGATGACGGAGCAAGATGTGGCTCAGAGGCCTACAAATGAGTTCCTCGTCATCAAATAAAGATGACAGAACGATATATGGCCGATGGTCTTGTAGACGAGCTCTTCGTCATTAAATAAAGATGACAGAGCGATATATGGCCGATGGGCCTACAAATGAGCTCTTCATCATCAAATAAAGATGACAGAGCGATATATGGCCAATGGGCCTACAAATGAGCTCTTCATCATCAAATAAAGATGACAGAGCGATATATGGCCGATGGGCCTGCAAATGAGCTTCGCGTCATCAAATAAAGATGACGGAGTGATATATGGCTGAACTCTGGGCTCCTTTAGCCTTTCGGCCGGAGACCGCAAGATGTTCGCTATATCTGAATAGGGGGACGAGGCGGTGGACGCCTGTCTGAATATGAGGACGACGACGCTGATGAGTCGGTCCGAATATGAGGACGACAGCGCTGACGAACCGGTCCGAATATGGAGACGATGGCGCTGGTGAGCCGGTCCGAATATGGGGACGAGGCGATGATAAGCCATGCGTCATGTGAAGGCGACGGTCACCATCCAGGAAGGGAATGGCGAGCCTGGTCGCTAGATAAGGACTTCGGCGCTGGGGCCGGTCTAAATGTGAGGACGAGGCGATGATGAGCCGTGCGTCATATAGGGGTGACGGTCGCCGTCCGGGAAGGGATGGCGAGCCCAATCGCTATAACAAGACTTCGGCGCTGGGAGCCGGTCTTGAGATAAATAATCACGTCGCGGCCGAGAGGCTGATCGCGATGTGCGGATGACAATGATGAGGAGCCAGTCCGAAATATGATGACGAGGCGATGATGGAGCCGATCGTCATATAGAGGTGATAGTCACCATCCAGGAGGGGATGGCGAGCCTGATCGCTAGCCCAACACACTCGACGCTGATGAAGCCGGTGTTGGGATAGGGTGTGACGTCGTGGCCGAGGGGCCGATCGTGATGCGAGGTCGTCAGCACTATGAGGCTGATCCAAAAGTCCAAGCAGCGGTCGTCATCCGATGAAGGAATGACCGAGACCGGTTTTGGGGATAGATAATCACGCCGAGGCCGAGGGGCCGATCGTGATGTGCAGACGGAGATGATGAGTCGATCCGATAATATGATGACGAGGCAAGAATGAAGCCAATCGTCATATAAGGGCGATGGTCACCATCCAGGAAGGGATGGCGAGCCCGATCGCTAGCTCAAGACTCTCGGCGTTGAGGAAGCCGGTCTTGAGATAGATAGTCACGCCGAGGCCGAGGGGCCGGTCGTGATGCGCGGATGGCGATGAAAAAAAACCAATCCGAAATATGATGACGGGGCAATGATGAGCCGGCCGTCATATAGAGGCGATGGTCACCATCCAGGAAGGGATGGTGAGCCCAGTCGCTAGCTCAAGATCGCGTTGAGACCGAGGGTTCTGCCGCGATGTGAGCATGACGGAGATGATGAGCCGTTCCAATAAATGATGACGAGGCCATGATGGGCCAATCGTCATATAAAGGCGACGGTCACCATCCAGGAAGGGATGGTGAGCCCGATCGCCAGCTCAAGATTCTCGGCGCTGAGGAAGCCGGTCTTGAGATAGATAATCACGCCGAGGCCGAGGGGCCGGGCATGATGTGAGGACGACGGCGATGAGGGGCCAGTCCAAAAATCCATGCAACGGTCGTCATTCGGTAAAGGAATGACTAAGACCGGTCTCGAGATAAATAATCACGTCGAGGCCGAGGGGGCCGGTCGTGATATGAGGACGAAGGCACTGAGGGGCCGGTCCGAAGATCCATGCAACGGTCGCCATCCGGGAAGGGATGACTAAGACCGGTCTCGAGATAAATAATCACGTCGAGGCCGAGGGGTCAGTCGTGATATGAGGACGACGACGGTGAGGAGTCGGTCCAAATAATGATGATGAGGCGATGGTGAAGCCGATCGTCATACAGAGGCGATGGTCACCATCCGGGAAGGGATGGCGAGCCCGATCGCTGGCTCAAGACTCGCGGCGCTGAGGAAGCCGGTCTTGAGATAGATAATCACGCCGAGGCCGAGGGGCCGGTCGTGATGTGAGGACAACGACGATGAGGAGTCGGTCCAATTAATGATGACGAGGCGCTGATGAAGCCGATCGTCATATAAAGGCGATGGTCACCATTCAGGAAGGGATGGTGAGCCCGATCGCTAGCTCAAGACTCGCGGCGCTGAGGAAGCCGGTCTTGAGATATATGATCACACCGAGGCCGAGAGGCCGGTCATGATGCGCGGATGGCGATGAAAAGAGCCAATCCAAAATATGATGACGGGGCAATGATGATCCGACCGTCATATAGAGGCGATGGTCACCATCCAGGAAGGGATGGCGAGCCCGATCGCTGGCTCAAGACTCTCGGCGCTGAGGAAGCCGGTCTTGAGATAGATATTCATGCCGAGGTCGAGGGGCCGGTCGTGATGTCCGGATGGCGATGCTGAGAAGCCAATCCGATAATATGATGACGGGGCGATGTATGAGCCAGCCGTCATATAGAGGCGATGGTCACCATCCAGGAAGGGATGGTGAGCCCGATCGCTGGCTCAAGACTCGCGGCACTGAGGAAGCCGGTCTTGAGATAGATGATCACGCCGAGGCCGAGGGGCCGGGCATGATGTGAGGACAACGGCGATGATGAGCCGGTCCTATAATATGATGACGAGGCGCTGATGAAGCTGATCATCATATAAAGGCGATGGTCACCATCCAGGAAGGGATGGTGAGCCCGATCGCTGGCTCAAGACTCGCGGCGCTGAGGAAGCCGGTCTTGAGATAGATGATCACGCCGAGGCCGAGGTGCCGGTCGTGATGTGAGGACAACGACGATGAGGAGCCGGTCCTAAGATGAGGGACGGCGCTGGGTGCTCGTCTGAGATGAGGGACGGCGCTGGGCGCTCGTCTGAAAATGAGGAACGACGCTGGGCGCTCGTCTGAGAAATGAGGGACGGCGCTGGGCGCTCGTCTAAGAATGAAGGACGGCGCATGGCGCTCGTCTAAGATGAGGGACGGCGCTGAGCGCTCGTCTAAGATGAGGGACGGCGCTGGGCGCTCGTCTAAGATGATGGACGACGCTGGGCGCTCGTCTGAAAATGAGGGACGGCGCTGGGCGCTCGTCTCAAAATGAAGGACGGCGCTGGGCGCTCGTTTGAAAATGAGGGACGACACTGGGCGCTCGTCTAAAAAATGAGGGACGGCGCTGGGCGCTCGTCTAAGAATGAAGGACGGTGCTGGGCGCTCGTCTGAAAATGAGGGACGGCGCTGGGCGCTCGTCTACAAATGGAGGACGGCGCTGGGCGCTCGTCTAAGAATGAAGGACAGCGCTGGGCGCTCGTCTGAAAATGAGGGACGGCGCTGGGCGCTCGTCTCAGAATGAAGGACGGCGCTGGGCGCTCGTCTAAGATGAGGGACGGCGCTGGGCGCTCGTCTAAGATGAGGGACGGCGTTGGGCGCTCGTCTAAAAAATGAGGGACGGCGCTGGGCGCTCGTCTAAGAATGAAGGACGGCGTTGGGCGCTCGTCTAAGATGAAGGACGGCGCTGGGCGCTCGTCTAAGATGATGGACGGCGCTGGGCGCTCGTCTGAGATGATGGACGGCGCTGGGCGCTCGTCTCAAAATGAGGGACGGCGCTGAGCGCTCGTCTAAGAATGAAGTACGGCGCTGGGCGCTCGTCTAAGATGAGGGACGGCGCTGGGCGCTCGTCTGAAAATGATGGACGGCGCTGGGCGCTCGTCTAATCCGCATGTATGGTCTTGCTTCGTCCATAATGTGTAGTATTTGCCTGATATGTACTTAGTATTGTTGTGGGGATTTCATTTTTTGTTGCTCGAGGACGGCGAGTGCGCGCGTTCCTCGGCTTCCCTCTTTTATTTTTTCTTTTTCCTTTCTTTTTTTTTTATTTCCGTTTCCGTTCCCTATTTCGGGGAGTATCCTTCTTTCAGGCTTCGGCCGAAGGGTGTGCTCGTCCTTCGGCCGGTTCGGACTTCGTTTATAACGTCCGTGATCTCAGGGGGGTCCCGTCGCCTATTTATGACGCGGGCTAGACTTTTGGTTGGTTTCCAACGGCTGCCGTTGCCCATCCCTGAGTTTTGGGATTTTGTCACCTCGGCCATGATTTCAGGCCTGTCGTCCTGCGATCTGGCGCGTGGACGGCGCGGTAAGCTTCCCATTTCAAGACGTGGGCCGTTTGCGGGCCCCTCGTCCTGGGGACATCGTCGGCCATACCTGAGCGTTTCACTCTAGGCTTACGGGGCCAGGACGATGTGCTCTCTCAGCTTGGCCGGAGCCCTTCGCTGATACAAAATACAAAGTGGAGCGGACCTGAGCTTTTCGCTCGAAGGTTGCCGATACGACACGTGGTATCTTCTATTTACATTTCCAAAAAATAAGCGGAATACAATAGGTGTCACGCCCCGGACCGCGTCCGAGCCACGTAGACAACCGCCGTACAACCCGATAAGAACAACAACAGTTCATCCCCATTATGTTGTACAAGGCGTCCGATTGATTCTATTGCCAAACCGATTAGTAAACACATACAATCAACATCAATATCATAATCAAACAAATGCGGAAAATAATAAAATGTTTGATACTTAGCCACACGTGGCAAACACGGGCACGCGGGCCCCCAACTGTTTTAATGAAAACATTGTTCAAAAATCCATGAGCAGTTTATACATTTGAAATATGAATGGAAGCACGAACCACGTCTTCCTCCTCGAATGATCACCCTAGGCAAAGGTGCAGGTAGTAGGACTCTAGCCTCAACCTGAAAAATGTGAGGGCCCCCGGAGGGGTCAGTACTCCATAGAAGTACTAGTGACAAGCAGGCTATATGAAGAATAACTAATGTTTCAGACACGAAACCCAAAAATAGGGTGATATATACATATAGATGTCCCTCATCCACCCGATGATACATACTGTATATATATACTCGTAAAATACTCAACCCGTAGGTCATTTACCTTAAAGAGTCTTTTAGAGATAAAGTTCTTACCTGACTTTTCTCACTTCTTTCCCGGTTACCTAGCTCACAAGCTATAGTCTACCTTTGATTCATACTACCGAGTGTTTTAGGATCATTTACCATCCAAGGCACTCAACCCGTCCTGGAGTATTTAAGATCATTTACCGTCCAAGGGTACTCGGCCCCACCTGGAGTATTCTGGATCATTTACCGTCCAAGGGTACTCGACCCCACCTGGAGTACTCTGGATCATTTATTGTCCAAGGGTACTCAACCCCACCTGGAGTATTCTGGATCATTTACTGTCCAAGGGTACTCGACCCCACCTGGAGTATTCTGGATCATTTACCGTCCAAGGGCACTCAATCCCCAGTCTATTCTCTACCAAATCCTAACCTGGATATGGCTAACCTTTCATTCCTTTAACTATGGACAATACCTAGCCCTATAGTCATATAACAATCCTTAGGATCCAACGTGGGCGGGTCCCACCCGAACGGCCCACGTTAACCTACTCAAAACTGCCCATTCTGGGCTTAACCCAAGACCCGGTCGGGTGTCCAGCCTTACCCGGTCGGGTTGGGTGAGGCAGTAGCCCCTGGAGCCGACTTTACTTGAGACCCGGTCGGGTCTACACCCATACCCGGTCGGGTCTAGTGTGGCAGTGGCTTCTGGAGCCATTTTTAATCAAAACCCGGTCGGGTATTCACCCATACCCGGTCAGGTATCACCTTTGTCTTGGCGGTCAACGCTCGTTCGACCGCCCAAACGAAGTCCGATTAACGTGAAATTTTATACACTTATACTTCTTGACGTCCTTGATCCAAAAATACCCTTTTGGATCCCTGGAACATCACACATAAGAAGTTATCACATTTTTGACCACCAAACCTACATAACATGCCTTTCAATTATGTTTTATGTATAATCATGGCATAAGCACACACTTGGTTATCTTTAATCATTCCACAAAACATATTCCTGATTACTTTAGGTAATCTCATGCCTCACGCAAAAGTTATAAAGCATAAAGCCGTCTTCTCACCTTATTGAAGCTTATGAAGTTCTAGCCTTCCCGATTTAGCTCCGACGAAACTCCGGCGAACTTCAACGAACTCCGGCGACAACTCCGGCGACCTTTTCAACTCCGTGAAAGTTCCTTGAATACCTTAGACAAGTTACTAACAAGGTTTTATCATCATAAAACCCATAGTAATACAAATAACCTCCAAAAGGTTATTTTCCGGCGAACCGGTCACTTTGGCTTCTAAGTCCGTTCTTGGGCTTAGAACCACCTTCCAACCCCTCATTCTACACTTCTAAACATGTAGAACAGTCCTAGGGGTAATCCATTTGATATGAACGTCATATGATAAGAAAAGATTGAAGAAGAGTTTGCAAAAAGCTTCTCACCTTTATTCCCAAGGTTTTTCTCTATTTTTGCAACTCTTCCTTCTTGATTTAGCTTCTTGCTTGATTGAGCTCCCTTCAACAATGGAGATGTGGATTTGCAGAGCCTCTTCTCTTCTCCCTTGATGGATGGAGTCGCAGCATATGGGGTGTGGGGGGTGATTGAGGATGCCATATTGGCATTTTCTCACAATCATGTTAGGAGAGGGGTCCATGTCATTTAATGATTTGGGTCTCCAATCAGCCCATGCTTGCCCCCTCCCATTATGTGCAGCATACCCTGACTTTTGACAGCCTAATTTCGTGGGATGGCCCCCACTTATGTGGGAGGTCATCCCTTTAAATCCCGTCGTGTACAATCGGTCCCGAAAGTTGTATTTTCCGGACTGTTTTAAGTATATTTTATTTTATCGGGTCAAATAAAATATAACACTTGTTCCCAATCCTCATTGGACCTTAGAATCAATATGCATTCCCCAACTTTAATTTAGAAGTCTCCGGAATCCCTTTTTGGGCTGTTATCCGATAATTTGTCGATACCGATAATCTGGCCCCATTTGACCAACCGGTCATCTCTATGCCATTACCAGACCCAATTAGGATATCCATCACCATATACATATTATCTAGTCCAAGATTAATATAATATGTGGTCCCGATAATATCGGGCGGCCCCACATCCGGTGTGGGCCCCACGTGAATTTTTACTATTCACGTAATAGAAATGATAAAAATTTACAATCACGTAAAAATGCTTTTATACATTTCTCAAGGTGCAATACATAATTTGGTACAGTACAAATACTTAGAGGCGGTGTTACAAGTTCTACCCCCCTTATTTGGGATTTCGTCCCCGAAATCCACGTGCCTAATCAAACAGAAATGGATATTGTTCCCTCATTAGGGTCTCCACTTCCCACGTTTGCTCCTCGACACGATCACTCTTCCAAAGTACTTTTACCATCGGCACCTCTTTGCTCCTTAGCTTCTTTACCTGTCGGTCTATGATCTTTACCGGCTGTACCGTATAATGTAGGTCTTCTCGGATTTCTACCGGTGGTTTCTCAAGAATATGTGACGGGTCCCGTACATACTTCTTGAGCATAGAAGCATGAAATACATTGTGAATCTTTTCTAATTCTGGGGTCAACTGAAGTCGGTATGCTACAACCCCAATCCTTTCAAGGATTTTGAACGGACCTATGTAACGTGGGTTAAGCTTACCCCGACTGAGGAACCTGATGATCCCTTTCCAAGGTGATACCCTCAGAAATACCTCGTCACCAACCTCAAACTCCAACGTCCTCCGACGTTTATCAGCATAGCTCTTTTGCCGGTCTTGGGCAGCCTTGAGCCTATCCTGTATGACTTTTATCTTCTCCTTAGTGATCTCGACTAACTCGGTGCCCTCGAGCTTAGCCTCGCCGACCTCATCCCAACACAATGGTGTCCGACATTTCCTTCCATACAATGCTTCGTATGGAGGCATGCCTATACTTGTCTGATAACTGTTGTTATAGGCGAATTCCACCAAAGCCAACTGATTGTCCCAGCTCCCCTGGAACTCCAAGGCACATGCCCTCAACATGTCCTCCAAGATCTGAATCACCCGTTCAGATTGCCCATCCGTTTGAGGATGAAACGCGGTGCTAAACCTCAATTTCATACCCATGGATTCCTGGAACTTAGACCAAAACCGTGATGTGAACCGTGGGTCTCTATCCGATACTATAGTAACCGGAACCCCATGCAGTCTCACAATCTCATCTGTGTACAATTTGGCCAACCGCTCGAGCGTATAAGTAGTGTTGATGGGTAGGAAATGAGCGCTCTTGGTCAGCCTATCGACTACCACCCATACTGCGTCGTAGTTCCTAACCGTCCGTGGTAGACCCACCACGAAGTCCATGGTAACATGCTCCCACTTCCATTCTGGAATGGTAAGTGGTTGTAATAACCCTGCCGGGTGTTGGTGCTCTGCCTTAACCTGTTGACAAGTAAGGCAACGGCTCACGTATTCTGTAATCTCTCTCTTCATCCCCGACCACCAGTAGCTTTCCTTCAAGTCCCGGTACATCTTTGTACCGCCCGGGTGCATGGCATACGCAGATGAGTGAGCCTCCTCAAGGATAGATTTTCGGAGCTCCTCATCCGATGGTACACACACTCGTTCCTTGAATAGTAGAAGTCCATCTTCTCTCTCACGGAAACCCTCGACGGGCCCCACAAGCATCCGTTCCCGGATTTTCTGAAATTCCTCGTCATTGCCTTGACATGTTCTGATTTCATCTAATAAGGTGGGTCTCACCTCAAATCTGGCCAATAGCGCCCCACCCGTGGATACCTCCACGCGTGCCCTCAGTGCCCGTAAGCATGTGAGTAAAACCCCTGATGATGAGCTCTTCCTGCTCAGTGCATCAGATACAACATTAACCTTGCCTGGATGATAGTCAATGATCAAGTTGTAATCCTTAATCAACTCCATCCATCTCCTCTGTCTCATGTTCAACTCTTTCTGAGTGAACACATACTTCAAGCTCTTGTGGTCGGTGTAAATGTGACACAACTCCCCGTAGAGGTAGTGCCTCCAAATCTTCAATGCAAATACCACAGCACCTAGCTCCAGATCATGTGTGGGGTAGTTTACTTCATGCTTCCTCAACTGCCGAGAAGCATAAGCAATTACCTTCCCTGATTGCATCAGTACACATCCCAGTCCCTGAATGCTAGCATCGCTGTAGATGTCATACCCTAACCCTTGCACGGGCAAGGCAAGCACTGGTGCTTCGGTCAAACGTTTCTTTAGCTCAAGAAACCCCTTCTCACACTTGTCATCCCACACAAACTTAGCCCCCTTTTTAGTGAGCTTCGTGAGTGGGGATGCTATCACCGAGAACTTTTCCACGAATTTGCGGTAATACCCCGCTAAACCGAGGAAACTCCTTATCTCCTTCACGTTCTTGGGCCTCTCCCAATTAGTGACCGCCTCAATCTTGGAGTTATCAACTGAAATGCCCGAGCCCGATACCACATGCCCGAGAAAACCGATCTCCCCAAGCCAAAATTCGCATTTAGAGAATTTGGCAAAGAGTTGCTTCTCCCGTAGTGTTTCAAGCACAAGCCTTAGATGTTTTTCGTGTTCCTCTTCATTCATGGAGTATATCAAAATGTCATCAATGAACACTTATGACGAACTGGTCTAAGTATTGGTGAAATACTCGGTTCATGAGGTCCATGAATGCCGCGGGGGCGTTCGTAAGCCCAAACGACATTACTAGAAACTCATAGTGACCATACCTCGTACGGAATGCACTTTTGGGTATGTCACTCTCCTTGATCTTCAGTTGATGGTAGCCTGACCTCAAGTCAATCTTAGAGAACACCGTTGCCCCCCGTAGTTGATCAAACAAGTCATCGATCCTTGGCAAAGGATATTTGTTCTTTATCGTGACCTTGTTCAACTGACGGTAGTCGATACACATTCTGAGTGTACCATCCTTCTTCTTTACAAATAGTACCGGTGCTCCCCATGGTGAATGACTCGGCCTGATGAATCCGCTGTCCAGCAATTCTTCCAATTGTACCTTCAACTCTTGAAGTTCAGCCGGTGCCATCCGATATGGAGGAATCGAGATGGGTTTTGTACCGGGTTCTACCTCAATGGTGAACTCAATTTCTCGATCTGGTGGGAGTCCCGGGAGTTCTTCAGGGAAAACTTCTGGGTACTCACTCACCACTCTCACCTCAGTGAGACTCTTCTCCTTGCCCTCCTTGCCTATGACATAGGACAAGTATGCTTGACACCCTTTCCTCATCATACGCCTTGCTCTTATGGCCGATATGATACAAGGGTTGAATTTCCCTCTATCTCCCTCGAAGCATAGAGTGTTTCCTTCTCCATCCTTTAGTTCTAACACCTTGGTGTAGCAATCTACCTTCGCATGGTGTTTTTCGAGCCAATCCATGCCAAGTATAGCATCAAACTCGAGCATATCTAATGGCACAAGGTCACCCGTTAGACAGTGCCCCCCTATCCCTACGTTACACGAGGGATAGTAGTGTTTCCGCTCTACATCATCTCCCAATGGCGTAGAGACCAGCAAAGGTTGCATCATAGCTACCAAAGGCATGTTCAATCCCTTGGCAAACGCTTCACTCACAAACGAACGTTGTGCCCCGGTATCGATGAGAATTCTCGCATCCCTATCGTTGATCTTTAGTGTTCCTACATATATAAGTCATGTAAGACACCCTATTCGTCATCCCGACAGAAAAGGACCGGACGGAAAAATTTCAGCCTAGAATTACCCTATACCCGGTCGGGTAGGGTCTTCTACCCGGTCGGGTATCACTCGAATTCTTAAGGGGAAACCCCCCTGTCTTCCTTGCTCGGTCGAGTACCAGCCTCGAATTCGGGCAAAATGTCAATACCCGGTCGGGCATATACCTATACCCGGTCGGGTATCACTCAAAATCCACAAATGAAAGCTCCCTGTCTTCTACGCTCGATCGAGTACACACTTCGAAGTTCAAAATCTACACATACCCGACCGAGTATATAGCCATACCCGATCGGGTATTGCTCGAAATGTCAAAAATAAAGCATCCTGCCTTGGCTGCCCGAACGGGTGCACACTTCAAACTCGAAGCATAGCTTATACCCGGTCGGGTCTATAGGAGTACCCGATCGGGTCCTTCATATTTTTGAAGATTTTTCAACCAATTACATGATCAAATACGTGCGAAATCAAGAGATTACCTGCAATGGAGTCCGGGTTGGCCCGAGCATCAGCCTCGGTCATTGCATACACCCGTGCTTGGGTCCTCCCTTGGTTAACGGACGCGGCGTTGCTAGCCGTGGGTCCGCTCCTTCCCGTGCCGGCCTGAGACGGCCCCGCACGTCCCCTACTAGTCGTAGGTCCTCCCATGGCTCCCGATGGTCCTCCCCCGTTCAGCATTGGACAAGAGGATTTGAGGTGGCTCGTGCTACCGCATTTGTAACACCGGGGTGGTTCATTGCACTTCCCCGCATGACTCTTGCCGCAGTTTGCACACCTCGGTGACCACGTACTCCCTGGTTTGGCCCCTTGCCCTCCTGAGCCTTTATTCCTTTTCGCCGGTGGTGCCGGCGCCCTGAATGAACTGCCAACCCCAGCATGATGCTTCCGGGAGTGGTCTTGGGGTATAGCGTTTCCCCATCTTCTTTTCTTCGCCTCCTCGGCGTCCCTCAACTTCCTCTCGTTCCATTGGGCTTCCCCAAGGAGCCCCTGATCAACGATTTGGCTAAATGTCATACTGTGATGGTAAGTAGCCCGATCACGGATGTCCAACTGTAGAGCATCCCAAAAGTGATTGGCCATACGATTTTCATCCAATGAGTATTCTGGGATGAATCGTGCCAAGTCACGGAACCTTTGTTCCAATTGCCTCACCGAGCAACCATCCTCCTGTTTCAGGTTCGTGTACTCTCTTCTTTTGAGATTGACTTCAAAAGTTGAGTAGTACTGATTATAGAACTCCACTTCGAATTTCTCCCAAGTGGCTTCACCGTGGAACTTTCCCTCCACGCCTTCCCACCATACAGCGGCTACCCCTTCTAGTAACCTGGTGGCAACCCTCAACTTCACGTCGAGTGAAATTTGCATGTCCCTAGAAGCATCATTCAGCTTCTTAATCCAGTCGGCGGCCTCAGATATGTCGCCCTTGCCATCAAATGATTTGCACCCCAAGGCCCTGGCCTCCTTGAGGTACTTGGAGATACGCACCATCGTATCTCCTCCAAATGCCCCCGATGGAGCACTAGAAGCACCTCGGCTTCCTTGCCCCATGGTCTGCCTAGCCTGTCTAGCTTGGCGCCGCTGTTCTCTCTTTGCCTTATTCTCGAGGAACCATTCTAGTACCTCACTCATACGGTCATAATGAGAATCATCATCCTCATCTTCTTCCTCAAAGTCCTCCCCGTTGTACGGGGTCTCCTCTTGCTCCGTGCTTGGAGCATAGGTGAAGTCGTCCGGTTCGGTGGCCCATGACGGGTGCACGGAACCGACGCGTGTGCTACTTGTCGTCGGCGTGGTAGAACGCCCACGACCCCTGCCTCGGCCTCCTCCTCGGCTTTGGCCCTGACCTCTACCCCTAGAGGTCCGTGATTCCGCCCGAGTGGCATGCCCGGTGGCCCCCGGCACATGCCCTGTCGGGTTCCTCCTAGTTACCCTGCGTCCACCCTCCATTTCTGAAAGAAATAAGGAATGAGTCATTAGACTCGTTTCAATGTCAATTGACGGAGTAGTACAAAAGACACCACTTGGTCCAACATTATGGCCAACAAACTGTTAAGGGTACCGTCTTAACAATAAGAGGTCAATAACTTGGTTTCCAACGGTTCCTTAAGTACAAAAACTGTTGCTCATGGTTTTATTCAAAACTTTTTGAGGATAACCATATTGAGAGGTTAATTATATAGTTTAGAAATCGATGGCTCTGATACCACTTAATTGTCACGCCCCGGACCGCGTCCGAGCCACGTAGACAACCGCCGTACAACCCGATAAGAACAACAACAGTTCATCCCCATTGAGTTGTACAAGGCGTCCGATTGATTCTATTGCCAAACCGATTAGTAAACACATACAATCAACATCAATATCATAATCAAACAAATGCGGAAAATAATAAAATGTTTGATACTTAGCCACACGTGGCAAACACGGGCACGCGGGCCCCCAACTGTTTTAATGAAAACATTGTTCAAAAATCCATGAGCAGTTTATTCATTTGAAATATGAATGGAAGCACGAACCACGTCTTCCTCCTCGAATGATCACCCTAGGCAAAGGTGCAGGTAGTAGTACTCTAGCCTCAACCTGAAAAATGTGAGGGCCCCCGGAGGGGTCAGTACTCCATAGAAGTACTAGTGACAAGCAGGCTATATGAAGAATAACTAATGTTTCAGACACGAAACCCAAAAATAGGGTGATATATACATATAGATGTCCCTCATCCACCCGATGATACATAATGTATATATATACTCGTAAAATACTCAACCCGTAGGTCATTTACCTTAAAGAGTCTTTTAGAGATAAAGTTCTTACCTGACTTTTCTCACTCCTTTCCCGGTTACCTAGCTCACAAGCTATAGTCTACCTTTGATTCATACTACCGAGTGTTTTAGGATCATTTACCGTCCAAGGCACTCAACCCGTCCTGGAGTATTTAAGATCATTTACCGTCCAAGGGTACTCGTCCCCACCTGGAGTATTCTGGATCATTTACCGTCCAAGGGTACTCGACCCCACCTGGAGTATTCTGGATCATTTACCGTCCAAGGGTACTCGACCCCACCTGGAGTATTCTGGATCATTTACCGTCCAAGGGTACTCGACCCCACCTGGAGTATTCTGGATCATTTACCGTCCAAGGGCACTCAATCCCCAGTCTATTCTCTACCAAATCCTAACTTGGATATGACTAACCTTTCATTCCTTTAACTATGGACAATACCTAGCCCTATAGTCATATAACAATCCTTAGGATCCAACGTGGGCGGGTCCCACCCGAACGGCCCACGTTAACCTACTCAAAACTGCCCATTCTGGGCTTAACCCAAGACCCGGTCGGGTGTCCAGCCTTACCCGGTCGGGTTGGGTGAGGCAGTAGCCCCTGGAGCCGACTTTACTTGAGACCCGGTCGGGTCTACACCCATACCCGGTCGGGTCTAGTGTGGCAGTGGCTTCTGGAGCCATTTTTAATCAAAACCCGGTCGGGTATCCACCCATACCCGGTCGGGTATCACCTTTGTCTTGGCGGTCAACGCTCGTTCGACCGCCCAAACGAAGTCCGATTAACGTGAAATTTTATACACTTATACTTCTTGACGTCCTTGATCCAAAAATACCCGTTTGGATCCCTGGAACATCACACACAAGAAGTTATCACATTTTTGACCACCAAACCTACATAACATGCCTTTCAATTATGTTTTATGTATAATCATGGCATAAGCACACACTTGGTTATCTTTAATCATTCCACAAAACATATTCCTGATTACTTTAGGTAATCTCATGCCTCACGCAAAAGTTATAAAGCATAAAGCCGTCTTCTCACCTTAGTGAAGCTTATGAAGTTCTAGCCTTCCCGATTTAGCTCCGACGAAACTCCGACGAACTTCAACGAACTCCGGCGACAACTCCGGCGACCTTTTCAACTCCGTGAAAGTTCCTTGAATACCTTAGACAAGTTACTAACAAGGTTTTATCATCATAAAACCCATAGTAATACAAATAACCTCCAAAAGGTTATTTTCCGGCGAACCGGTCACTTTGGCTTCTAAGTCCGTTCTTGGGCTTAGAACCACCTTCCAACCCCTCATTCTACACTTCTAAACATGTAGAACAGTCCTAGGGGTAATCCATTTGATATGAACGTCATATGATAAGAAAAGATTGAAGAAGAGTTTGCAAAAAGCTTCTCACCTTTATTCCCAAGGTTTTTCTCTATTTTTGCAACTCTTCCTTCTTGATTTAGCTTCTTGCTTGATTGAGCTCCCTTCAACAATGGAGATGTGGATTTGCAGAGCCTCTTCTCTTCTCCCTTGATGGATGGAGTCGCAGCATATGGGGTGTGGGGGGTGATTGAGGATGCCATATTGGCATTTTCTCACAATCATGTTAGGAGAGGGGTCCATGTCATTTAATGATTTGGGTCTCCAATCAGCCCATGCTTGCCCCCTCCCATTATGTGCAGCATACCCTGACTTTTGACAGCCTAATTTCGTGGGATGGCCCCCACTTATGTGGGAGGTCATCCCTTTAAATCCCGTCGTGTACAATCGGTCCCGAAAGTTGTATTTTCCGGACTGTTTTAAGTATATTTTATTTTATCGGGTCAAATAAAATATAACACTTGTTCCCAATCCTCATTGGACCTTAGAATCAATATGCATTCCCCAACTTTAATTTAGAAGTCTCCGGAATCCCTTTTTGGGCTGTTATCCGATAATTTGTCGATACCGATAATCTGGCCCCATTTGACCAACCGGTCATCTCTATGCCATTACCAGGCCCAATTAGGATATCCATCACCATATACATATTATCTAGTCCAAGATTAATATAATATGTGGTCCCGATAATATCGGGCGGCCCCACATCTGGTGTGGGCCCCACGTGAATTTTTACTATTCACGTAATAGAAATGATAAAAATTTACAATCACGTAAAAATGCTTTTATACATTTCTCAAGGTGCAATACATAATTTGGTACAGTACAAATACTCGGGGGCGGTGTTACAATAGGTGCGCTGTTCATGGCAACGGCTTTTGGGGGACGCGATTAGCGTCTCGGAGAACGAGGTGTACCGTTTACCGCTCTCGGGCATAATGCCATGTGCGGCCGGTAGCGGCTCTCATTTTTAGATGTCCGAGTCACCAAATAAAGGTGACTAGGGTAGGTCGATGGACCTAAATATAATCCGAATCAACAAATAAAGATGTTCGGTAGACTAGAGCTCGGGTCCACCACTTTGGGGTTTTTTGACCCGGTCTAATGGCATTGATAAAAATAATAATGCCAATAATAAATTTTCATTAGCGACCTCGGGAAATTTTAATCCCTCACAATGGTCTTCACCACCTCGGGAGTTTTTAACCCACCATAATGGTGGTGGAAATAATATAATTAATAATAGTAATAATTATACTACTATCATTTAATAAATATTTTAAGTGTATAAATAGGAGTATTGGGCACTTAGCTTTTTTATTTGGACTGTTTGAGATAATGGGCCAGGAGTTGGAGCTTCTTGATGATATGGTTTGATTAATGGGCCTTGACTAATCTGCCTCACAGCACTTGACCTAGCCCTTTGCCTGCTCTCTTGTTGGCAAGCGGGCAGCCTTGCCTGCGACAGTCGAGACCCCCAAGCAGCGCACAATTGCTGCTGCACTCTGTCCACAGGAGCAGCCAACAGTGAGGATAGCGATGGAGCAGTACCAGCGGCGGCGAAGCTTCCTCCGTTGGAGGCTTGTACCCTCAGGTGGGCCCACGAAAGTGTTTCACAACCGGAAGTGACGTCGCTACGAATCCGACAGCACCAGACAACAGTCTCTGACTCAGACCTGGGACGGCTGCTTTCGATGCTAGCGTGTGGCCAAGACTAGGACGGCGGTGACCTTTCCGGCGAGGACATCTCCGGCGAGGGATCCCAGACGCTTATCGTTGCTTTTTTCATTTTCAGGCTGATTTTTCTCGGCAGGTAAAGCACCAAAGCGAGATGCTTAGATCCAGAGTAGTTATACACAAGTTCAGAATGCAGAGTTCGTGTGGTAGATTCCCGTGACTTCGACACAAGTGTTTTATGTGCAGTTGCCAAAGCCCAAAAGGGAAATACGTCTGGAATAAGTGATGCATTTAGTAGTGCTACCTCTGGCTCTAATGTTCCAGCTTGCATATATTCTAGTAGTTCTTTAGAACTGGAAACGTCGGAGAAGAGTGCAATAGAAACAGTGTTTCCACCAACTGCCAATGGTTCCATCTCCGGCTGGATTTTCTTTAGGTGACGGAAACGAATAGCAAATGCATTGTAGAGAATGATTTTTTTTGATGTTTGGGGAGAGGAATCTCACTTGATTGTGTTTAATCTCTCAACGAGAGCACCATTGATGGATTATAGGTATCCAAGTATATATAAAATAGGAGAGATTTGAGCATGTAGAGAGGAAGATGAATGAATAGTGAATTGTGAAATTATGTTCGAGGGTTACAAATGGCTCCAAGAGGAGTATAAATAGGGAAATAATGGGTCGAGCCGCTAATATGGGCCCGGTAGCCCAACTACATAAAAGACTAATCTAGTACATAGTTACATACAAATGACATATAAGCAGTACAATAATACAAATGATATCCGTAAGATGTGTGTGGGCCGCTGTCCGGGCCCAATAGTCGTGAGACCCGGGGGTCCGAGTCTATATACTCTATCAAGGAGGTTTGACTGTCCAGGAGCAAATACCCGACCGGGTAGAAGACTCCACCCGGTCGGGTATGATTTAACATACGAAATTGCCAAGAAAATCACTAGACCCGGTCGGGTCCCCTACTTGACCCGGTCGGGTCAGATGTGACCCGGGACAAAATGACGTGCGAAGATCACCAGAACGTGGCGGATTATCTGATTTTGACCGGACCCGGTCGGGTAAGTACTTGACCCGGTCGGGTACCCGGCCAAAGGTGTTGAAAAACACCTATAAATAGCGCACTTTTTCTTCTCTAAAAATAATTCCTTCTTCCATACTCTTAAGCTCAGTTTAGAATAACATTTCTTTATATTTTTCTAGCTATGTTTAGTCTCCAAATGAGGAGCTAAACTTCCAATTCTTGGTGTTGCTCTTGAAGTTTGTTGATTATTAAAGTTGTGAGTTATTTTTTTAAACTTTTCCCCTTGAATATTAATTATTAGTTATTTCCTTAATACTATCTCTATATTAATGTTGGGGAGTGTTGTTAAGATGACAATTAGCTAACATCTTGACATTAGTTATAGTAGTATTTTCTTCATCTATATTAATGTTGGGGAGTGTTGCTAAGATGATAATTAGTTAACATCTTGATATTAATTATAGTAAGATTCATCTTCTTTAATAATACTCCTCCTTGAATATTAATTAATTCCTATTCATATTTCATATTAATATTTTGAACATTACTTAAAGGATAAACTAGTTTTGTTTCATATATTAATTATTACTAGAAACGATCAACGAACCGATGATTAATCATTGATAGTTTCACAAGTAAGTAACTTCGGTTTATTAATGCACGGTCGTGATTAATAAACTTAAGAGGGATTAATTTTGTTGGTTAAACCGAAACCGTTGTGTTGAGGTTATCAATCTCAATTGATTTCATCAAGGAGTTAGAAAGATTAAATGTTACTATTAAATCGGTATACGGTGTTGTTCTATATTTGATTAATAGTAAGGGTTATTAATGAACGGTCGTTGTTAATAACTACCCTCGATGAAGTGGATATACTCTCCGATTGAGTATTCGAGAGGGAATAAGTTATAGATATAACAATGATCGACTAAAATATATCAACAAGTGGAAAGTAGCAATGCCAAGTCCTTTTTATCTTTGAATTAAATCTCATATAAGTCGTTCATCTTAGTTTTTAATTTAATTAAATCATTCATCACCAACCCCCCCCCCCCCCCCTTTATTTACTAAGTTTCATAAAAAGAGAATTATTCCTTTCCCTGTGGATACGAACTCTACTACGTTATACTACGCATAAGTGTTAGTATTGAAAATTATTTTGACGCACCGTGACAAAGTGCTCGTCAGACTCCTAAACATGGATACACTGGTCTTATATAGTAGGCACTTCAAGTTATATATTTCTCCCATTGTCTTATTTGTCTTTTTGTCCGTCCCATTAAATTTGTCTCATACGTAGTATTACATTTATTTGCTAGTACCAATACATTTCTAATTCTTCATTATCATTTTAATCATACTTTATCAATTCTATACCAATGAGAATGCATTCTTAAAAACCATCGATCACACCAGGGGACGGAGATACTTGTGGCGGTAATTGTTATTACCTCTGTCCTGCTAAGATTAACCGATCATCGTTATTCGCTCCGTCCTACCAATATTAGAAAGGAAACTTTACTCATAATCAAGTTGACGCGAGGGAATCCCATACCAGAATCGAAAAAGAGGAACCCCAATTGCTTGCGACGAAAGGCATTCTCAATTGTGATATTTGAACGTACGTAGGAGAAGGATGACGAGAGAAGATACCCCTCCTTTGGCCAAATTGAATGCCAGTTTTAGATACCAAGTTAAAGTGTATTCCACTTGTACGAATTATTATGAGGTACTTACCAATACTACGTGGACACGTCTTAAAACTTGACCAATTCATTGAATACTTTCTTGGAATTTCTAAAGAGAGAAAGGAAAAAGAACCTCTCCTTTTTTTAATTTCCTTAGCCTGGACACTGATTGACCACTTTCATTCCTAGCCTCCCAAAATACTCCCACACCCCATATGAAGTGTATAAATAGATCAACCATTGATCCAAAGCTAAGCTAGCCTAAGGGCTAAGGCCTCATTCATTTATCTTCAAAGCTAAGCTAAGCCCACTCTCGTAGCTCTCCATAAACACCCCATTGATCGAACAGATAATGGTGAAGGTATGTATCATCCTTCTTGCTGTGTGTTAGTTAGAAGTAGACACTAGTAGAAAACCCCCAATTTGGGGCGGTTTTAAAGCTCCACGCGTGGCGGTTTTGACCGTCACAGCGGAACCTGATACAATTTTTTTATGTTGTGCTGCAAATTGATGTTTTTTCACTAGCTAGAAGTATCATTATATTACAGATAATTTACATTAATGTTCTGTATATTTCGACAGTACGTTTAAATTGATGAACATTTTTTGGGTTTTTTGGCAGCAAAAGGCAGTGATTAGTGTCACTATGAGAGATGAGAAAGCTCGAATCAAAGCACACATGATTGCCGTTCGCCAATCAGGTATATATATACATATGAAGCTCGATCACAAATGGTACTCCGTACGTGTTTTAATGCTACTTTTTCTCCCTTCAAATTACGTTTGCGAGTCATATATGAGACATTTACGAATGTTTTGGTTAGATATAGATAAGCTTCCCATAACATACATAGACTTGCACAATGAATCCTAAATGTGTCCAATTTTTTCTTTCAGGAGTTGTTTCAGCTTCGGCGGAACAAGAGAAGGGGCTGATAGAGGTAGTCGGCGAGTTCGACGTGGTAGTACTGACGATCGAGTTACGGAAGAAACTTGGGCATGCTGATATATTGACGGTGGCGGACGTGGTTGAGAAAAAGGAAGAAAAGAAGGAAGAAAAGAAAAAAGAAAAGAAAAAGGAGGATGAGCAGCCAAAACCCCAAAATATGATGGTCACTTATGATCCTTCTTGTTTTCGGCCACCACCTCCCTACTACTACGCTTGTCCAGTTGATAATTATGAATATGCAGCAGGCTGAGTGATGATATTGTAATTATATTCCAGCACTGGTTTTGAAGCTTTTCTTTAATTTAATAATAATGTCAAGATCCAGCCAATTCAAAGACAATTGAAGGTTCGGATATTTGGTTTTCTGTGGAATATATTTAATTTTATGGAGTTAAACTATGCCCGATCACAATGGGATATAATTTGGAATTTTATATTTATTCATGTATAAGTTGGTCACTGACGAATGCTGAGTAATATTTTTACTGGTTGATTACGTCTAATATTTACTTTCTGGAAGGGTATGTACACAGAGTTAAAAGGAAAATAGCCGTACACGCCAGTTTTTACACACCGGGTTACACGCCGGTCAATTATCTGTGTAGAGACAATTTGATCAGCTATACATACAATTTGATCAGCGTTTTATGAAGAAAATCGATTTTCACACAAACAAAAATAAAACAATTGTCTGTATCACAAACATTTTAAAATTCTCGTTTAAAATTGTCTGTATCACAGACATTTTATTAAAAATTCTCGTCTAAAATCTCTGTGATACATACAACTCTTTATTTTTGTCTGTGTGGAAATCGATTTTCTTCATAAAACGCTGGTCAAATTATCTGTGCAGCCGGTCAAATTGTCTGTATACAGACAATTTGACCAGCGTGTAACCCGACGTGTACACGAACATACTTCTTTTTGGGTAGGTCCAAAATAAACTTTACACTGCTTTTCTTTTCCTTATTTGGCAAACTATCTACATCAAAACAATGTAAAACAGTGCAAAATAGTGTCAAAAAGTGTCACAACAGTGTACTCTACAGTAAAGTCAAATTTATTTTCTTAATTTGTGTGAAGTCAAAGTATGAAGTTTATTTAGGACCGGAGGGAGTAAATAACTTCTCGTAACATAAATATACTCCGTACGTAACATAAATTCTAATTTGTCATCTCTCATGCAATGATATGATATGACATCAATAATTTTGAGACCACATATATAATTAACAAAGATTAACTAATGCCTGAATTTGACTAGTCATTGATAAAATGATGTCAAAGCGGCTAATAGCATATGTTAAACTTCTTCTTGAGATGATTGATCAACTCCACTTCAGTTTGGTATTTTTACACGGAAGAAATCGAGTATCATTAGTGAATAGTGAATAGTGGATGAAACTATATGAAGTTCTGGCTGAAGTGACTGTATTAGCTGATTCTGCTGATTAATGAAAAAATATTTAAAATATTTGTTATTAATAAATAAAATAAAAAATTATACGATAAAATAGCTAAAAGTATTCTCTATAGTAACTTCAGCCAATAGAGCTAGAAAAGTAACCTCAACACTATTTTTTCTGCTTATTACACAATTCAGCACGAGATATCAAAAGTTACGTGTTTGATAAGCCTGCTAAGCCGAAAAAAGAGCACCAAACGGGCTCTAATTCATTTTAACAATGGTGCCAAAAAATGTTACAATGATGAGTCAAAGTAGACTACCAAAAAACCGATATTCGTACATATCCAATCTTTAAAGGAAAAAACCGGTTTGTACACACTATTTGTATCAATCGATCTGTGCATTCATTGGTGAACATGTTTTTTTTGTATGTGAATAGCCTTTTCAAGAGTATATTGTTCACCGAAGTCAGGAATATATTGTATGTGAACAAACTATTCACAGACGAAAAAATAATCTATTACCAACGAGTAATGTATTGATAGGTATAAAAATATGTGTACATCAAGAATTATTGTTTTTTAAATCGTGCTAAAATCATTTGGTACTGATGTGCGATGTGCAGTGGCGGATGTGCTTTATGCAAGGGTGTTCACAAGAACACTCAAAAAGAAAAAAAAAACAATAGGAATATGTATATTTGAATTAGAGTAATAATTTGTTTAATAGTATTTTAAAAAGAAAATGTGTAATTTTGAACACCCAATGTAGATACTAGGTCTGCCACTGTCTGGCAATGTGTTGCGGTGTTGGTTTTCCGAAACACTTACGGTGTGTTTGAGAGTTGGGTTTTGAAGGGGAGGGGAAGGTTAATGGGGGTTTATGACCCTCCTTTTAATGTTTGGGAGTTTAAAAAATTGGAGGGGGTGGTTTTGGAGGGCTTTTGTAACCCTTCAAAACCCTCTAAATGCTTAATTTTTAAGTTCCCCCAATTTGGAGGGTTTTGAAAGATAATTAACAAAATGGTAATTTAAGCTAAATTAGAAATGAATATCAACTCAATATTTTGAATTCGTCATATCTCAAAGTGATTTTAATTATAATTCCTTCAAAAACCGTCTCCTTCCAATTTTATTACTCCCAAATACAAAGAAGGGCTTCCTCACCCTCCATTCCCTTTCCCCTCCAACAACATACCTCCAAAGCCTTCCCCTCCTCTTCTCTCCAAACTCCCAAACATACCCTTAGGGTGTGTTTGGGAGTTGAGTTTTGGAGGGGAGGGGAAGGTTAATGGAGGTTTATGACCCTCTTTTTCATGTTTGGGAGTTTAAAAATTGGAGGGTTTTTGTAACCCTTCAAAGCCCTCCAAATGCTTAATTTTTAAGTTCCTCCCAATTTGGAGGGTTTTGGAGGATAATTAACAAGATGGTAATTTAAGCTAAATTAAAAATGAATATCAGCTCAATGATTTGAATTCGTCATATCTGATGGTGATTTTAATTATAATTCTTTCAAAAACCCTCTTCTTCCAATTTTATTACTCCCAAATACAAAAAAGGGCTTCCTCACCCTCCCCTCCCTTTCCCCTCCAACAACATACCTCCAAAACCTCCCCCTCCCCTTCCCTTCAAATTCCCAAACATACCCTTAGGGTGGGTGTGTTTGGGAGTTGGGTTTTGGAGGGGAGTGTGAGGTTGATGGGGGTTTATAATCCTCCTTTTCATATTTGGGAGTTTAAAAAACTGGAGGGGATGGTTTTGGAGGGCTTTCATGACCCTCCAAAACCCTCTTAATGCCTAATTTTTAAGTTCTCCCAATTTGGAAGGTTTTGAAGGATAATTAATGAAATGGTAATTTAAGCTCAATTAAAAATAAATATCAATTCAATTATTTAAATTCGTCATATCTCAAAGTTATTTTAATTATAATTCATTCAAAAACTCTCTTCTTCCAAATTTATTACTCCCAAATACAAAGAAGGGCTTCTTCACCCTCCCCTCCCTTTCCCCTCCAACAACATACCTCCAAAGCCTTCCCCTCCCCTTCCCTCCGAACTCCCAAACATACCCTAAGTAATATGAGGGAAAGATTTTGGGGTGTTATAAAATCCTTCTAAACCCTCCAAAACCTGGCTTTTCTAATTTCCCCGATTTGAGGGTTTTCTAAGGTCTAGCTACACAAATGCGAGATTTATCATTTGAAACTAATACCGCTTCCGCATAAAATATTTATGAGCTGCTACTCGCTTCATTTCTCCATCACTGAAACCCCTCAAGTCCCTAAACCCTCCTCTTTTGAAATTTGCAACTCCCAAATAAGAGGAGGGAATCCCTTCCCATCTTCATCCCCTTCCCTTCTTTGTACTCCCCTTCAAATCCTTCCCCTTCCCTCACCTTCAAACTCTCAAACACACCCTTAGCACGAACCGTTGTTTGTGCCAACTATTAGCACAATGTTTAGCACCAATTTCTCTAGTCTTACCGGTCGCAAATAGGCTGGTCTAATTTGATCTTATTTATTTGATTATGATAGACAAGCTCAATTAAAACATTCTCAAAAGACAACAATCTCTCAGGCTGGACTTTCAAATAAAAACCACGTTAATGGTGTGTTTGGGAGTTGGGTTTTGGAGGTGAGGGAAAGGTTGAGGAGGGTTTATGACCCTTCTTTTCATGTTTGGAAGTTTATAAAATTGGAGGGGATGGTTTTGGAGGGCTTTTGTGACCTTCCAAAGCCCTCTAAATGCTCAATTTTTGAGTTTCCCCAATTTGAAGAGTTTTGAAGGATAATTAATGGAATGGTAATTTAAGCTCAATTAAAAATAAATATCAGTTCAATTATTTGAATTCGTCATCTTAAAGTGATTTTAATTGTAATTCATTCAAAAACTCTCTTCTTCCAAATTTATTACTCCCAAATACAAAGAAGGCTTCCTCACCCTCCCCTTCCCTTCCTTCCAAACTCCCAAACATACTCTAAATAGGTCCCGACCGGTCGTTGGTGCGGCACATCCAAGTAATGCAAGTAAAAATCTAGCTTAAAAAATTAAAGACATAATTATTATGGGCCAATAAAGATTGACTTCCTTACGGCCAACAGAGCAAAGGAACATGATACCATATTAATTAGGGAGAATTCCCTAAATAGGGGTAAAAAAGTTTTGAAATTCCAAAATAGGAGTATCTTGTTTTTTATTCCTTGAATAGAAGTAAATTTCTGCTAAGTTTGGCATACTACGCTTTAAAATATGTTTTTTTTCAAACTTGACAGATTACTCCTATTTTGGAATTTCAAAACGTTTTTGCTCCTATTTAGAGCAATTTATATATTAATTACCATGATAGATTTCGGGATATATAGGGCTTAGATGCTAAATTGCACAATTAGAAATTTGGGTGAAGACACATTAAAATGTACTATGATACCATGTTTTCCCTCAAGATCTTACTAACCCAATTGACCGACTCGTTGCATTTAGATATGTTATTGACATTGTCACTACACTTTCTTTCAAAGGTGACATTGATTGTCTTTTTACTAATATGTTAGATGACCTTTATAGATTGAAAACTCTTATCATGAATAAAATTTCATACACAAGATACATTCATTCTTTTTCTTACTAATTGCAATTAATTCTGTCAATAATTTTGCACGAATTAGTAGATCCTTTAAAATTCGAGCCAAAATTGTGAAAAAAGGTTTGCCACAAAAATTTATCACATTTTCTTGACAATAATGTGTCAATTCACAATAATTTAGTGTTAGATCCTTTTTTTGTAATGCAATACGATAAAAGTTCAATATGTAAAATCAAATTATTAAGTAAAATTGTATTGAAAAATGGAAGAGCAAACTTAAATTACACTAGCTTCATCTTTGGACATGGTAGTATATATTTTTACCAAATACCAACAAATTGAATTTTGTGCCACACAATGGGTAATGCTTGACATGATCCTAGGAACTGAAATCCTGATCATTTTATAGTATGAAAAATAACGAGAGTTCTAATTCAAAATCAGAAACGGTGCATGTGTGATTCATTTCTAATCCAGATTATGCCTTTTTGTCACAAAGCCTAATATGACCATTTAGAATTGTCTTAAGAGATATTTACCCCTCTTATGACTAAAAGATGATGTGTTTCCCAACATATGACCCCATTAGTTTTTTTCCTATTGTATTACCCATAAACGGCTCATGATCATTCCCAACTTTTTTAATTCCACCGTTGCCCTCAACCATATTAAGTAACGAGTAAATAATCGCTCTTCTTAAAAATATGGAATTGATTTGCACGACCAATATGCACACGGCGTATCAGTTAGCTTTCCTAAGAATAAGGAGTATATGTATGTAATAAAGGTAACTGATGATTTACACGACCTACATATATGTAAACAGTATGTTATTGGAATTCCAAGAACATTGAATTCACTCGTACATGGCAAGTTCTGCCATCTATATATATGGGTTTCCCGGAATTTAATTTGGGGTTTGTTTCAGGTATGACGACCAATGGTTGATCAACAACAATTGTCTGAGTCATTTGAAAATGATGATAGTAATCAAGATGATTTAGATGATGAACGTTTAGAAGCAGTAGATGAAGATTAGTCCACAGAGAAGGTATATATGAAGCAACATGATTGTCTCGTGATGTTGGCTCCACACTTCCTTGCTATATGGGCGATGCTATAATCCCAACATTGATATTGTGCAGTTGTTTTTATTGGAAATAATGTACTACCAAATCTAAGCATTGATATTGTGCACTGAGTTTTTATCGAAAACAATGCACTACCAATTCCCAACATTGACACTATGCAGTGATTTTTTATTGAAAATAATGCACTACCATATTAATGCACTAACTAAAAATTAGAAACCTTTAATTGCAAGCCATCAAATGAGTTACTATTGCATTCTTAAAAAAATATTATACGTAGTACAAAACAATATTGCATGATATGAAAATTTAGTATCACACTACTCAAACACACAAAAGCAATTACAAATGTCAAATTTATTGCACTCTTTCAAGGCATTAACAAAGCATAAACAGTCACTGCACACCTAGAGCTTCATATTTTTTTCACTGCACGACTACGACATATACATTGTTTACAAATATCCGCTTCACACCTAACTCAACTCCACGGCAATTTCATTCGTGTCCTACTCTAAAACAAAAAGTACACCGATTTTGACTATTTCAAACTCCGAACGGCCAACTGGTATTTGCCTGCGATTTCCACTTTTCCGTCACCATTATTTCCGGCTAGTACGTATGCTTTGTTTAAACTTGCTTCAGCTTTGCACCTTCTCGTTTGTTTTGCTTGGAGAAGTGTCGATCACAATCATGAGTTACGGTTAGCATTTTTGTTCCTTCCATAATTGGAGTTCCCGAGAATCATGCTCGGCCAAAACACTCCTTTCGTTAATTTCCTTTTCCAAAGTCTAATTTGTTAAATGCACGTACAATAATATGCACGTTTGCTTTATGAGGTTAATTTTGTCATTCCATTTTGTATATTATGGGTGCGGGATTTGTTTTTTATGTTTTTAGTCATACGGATGACTAAAAACTACTTTGGTCATATTGTGGGACTGTTAACAACTTTTAGTCATAGATAGGTATTTTTCCCTTGTCTTAATAGATGTATATTGGTTGAAACTGGTCATGAATAATCTATATCTAGTTACAAATAATAATCTGAAATACTAGACAAAATGGACCTCTTATTGTCCTTATACGCTTGAAGTTTAGCCAACGAATTACTAACCAAGGCAACAAATCCAACAATCCATCCTCAACAAACGATAAATATTACTACCTCCGTTCTGAAAAGGTTTGACAAATTGACTTTTCTTGATCAATGACAAACAACTTTGACCAATGATATATTTTAATATGAAATTATTTAGAATATGAAAAGTCAATTTGTCAAACCTTTTCAGGAAGAAGGTAGTACTCACTGCTTCGTACAAGAAAACAATAGAAGTATATAAGTTCTTGGAAACTTCTCTTTTTGCATACAATATGGAATATAAATAAGATTGACCAAATTAATATATGATCGCGATTATCAATTCCTAATCACAACCTCGAATTGGATTAAAAATTAAAACACTATGCAATTATGCATCCTGCTCCATGATCATAATCATTGACTGGATAAGTGTAATAGTGGTGATTATGATAAGGAGCTGTCACAATTTGAGGTTCTGGGGTCTCAACTTTTTTCTTTTCTTCCTGTTTAACTTCCTTCTTTTCATTCTTCTTTTCTTCCTTCTCATCTTTCTTTTCTTCCTTTTTCTCAACTACTTCAGCCACCGTCAATATATCGGCATGGCCCAGTTTCTTCCGTAGCGCAATGGCCATTGCCACTGCGTCAAACTCGCCGACCACTTCTATCCGCCCCTTTTGTTGATCTACAGACGCCGAAACAACTCCTAAAATAAGAGAAATTTTGAAAACATGATATGGTACACAAATATGCTACGTATGTGTGGTTGAAAGTTGTGCATATTATGTATCGCGAGAAATGCTGTGAACGGGGACAAATTTTTTGTCAAAAGAGAAAATGGAAGTACCGTACCTGGCTGGCGAACGGCAATCATGTGAGCCTTGATTCGAGCTTTCTCATCGCTCATAGTAATGCTAATCACTACCTTTTGCTGCAAATTAAATCAACCAATCAAAATATAATTATTGAAAAAATTACGGTCATCATACAGAATTAAGCTAAGAACAGATTATGGTAAATACCTTCTTCATTTTTTTTTGTTTTTTATGTGGAGATAGCAAAAGATAGTTGGAGATATAGAATAAGATTTATTCAGGTGTCTAAGCTATGAAAAGCCTCTGTAATTTGGTCTATATATACTATCGTGTGTGTAATGTAAATATGTAATCATTCTTCGAGGCCAAGGAAAAAAACAGAGAATCCATCTTTTTCATACGGAGTATTTTAAAGAGAAATTTATCCCTCGTATCACTAAAACTTAGTGTCATGACCAATCTATGACTACTTGTTAATTTTTCCTAATGTATGAGTAGTTTGTAACCGTAGGACTAATAACTGCATGCGCATAACCGCCGAAATCATAGCTGCGTAGTCATACGGAAGATAAAAAAACACATGGAGTCATATTTTAGGAAAACTCATGTGTTTTAGTATTATTTAAGTTTTATTCCCTATTTTAAAAGTGTGGAAAATAGTCCATAAACGAGTAATTCACTTTAGTAGTTGTTTGCCTCACCTTATTATTGTCAACCTTTAACAATTGAACTTTGTTTTTCAAGTCACACTAATATTACAAGGAGGTAGTGCACTATTAAAAAATAAAGTAAGAATGATTTAAAATCATACAAATTTTTCCAAATTCGATATGTGAAAATCTTAGTGGAATGGATCGAAAATGAAAGATGCGACAATTTTAGCTGGACGGAAGATTCCCGTTGACGGTTTACGATGCTTGACTGACGATAAAGCAACTTAATCCCTGTTCACACTCTGATTATCTTTAGTAAATAAAATTAACATATTCAGAAATTACATTAAAACCGTTACAAAGTCTGATAAAAAAATGTAAATTTGATAAAAAAATGATTTATAAAGTAAAAGATTAAAAATGATTTAAGTTGACAATGTGAATAGTGGACGAGAACCTTCTAATGAGACGGAGGTAATACTTTCTAACGCCAAAATTATTTTGAATTCTTTATACTTAGCTTATATATGCACATCTATATTGCACGCACACTTATACGGAGTATATATTATTGAATGGTTAAATTATTAATGATCTATAAATCTACAATATATCTTATACTCCGTATAAAAGAAATGATCGACCGAGTAAGAATGTTTTGCAATCTTAAAATAAGAACAGTGTCTTATTTTCTAAACGCGAGCAAAGATTCCCGGTCTGTGAATACAGTATCTTATTTTCTATATGAGATTGTGCTCTTCAATTTGTACTAACTACATGCGAGCAAAGATTCCCTTTTTAACCACCAAAAACAGTAATCAACTTCGCACGTACCGGCTTAGCCAATTAAAGGGATACCCTTCTTCTCTTCTTTTTTTTCTTTTGTATTCAAAAGTTAATCATAGAGTATTAGATAGGTAATTCAAATATTCATCTGGATGCATGCTTTTAGATTCTGTGGTACCCTTAAGGTACCATACATTTGTCCACATGAACCAATCAGAATGATTTAGTTGAATTATTTAAAGGTCTTTTTATTCCAATATTACTAAAATGGATTAAAAAGGTAAATTTGTGACCTGTTTTAAGTTTTTCCAAAAATGTGACTAAAAGTCATTATTCCTTGTATTTAATCATACATTTATTATTTTAATATTCATTTTATATATTTGATTAGTAGTCCTATGACCGTAGACCGTAGCACCGCCGCAACTGCCGGCACCATCGCCACTGCCAGTGCCGCCACTGAGGCCGGCACCGCCGCCACCAGTCACTATCTCATGACTCTGGCCACAGTGACTCCGCTGGCCATAGTGACTCCCGCCTACCGGCCATAGTGACCACCACTCACCGGCCAAAGTGACTGCGGTGACGGTGACTGCCTGCTCACCGGCCAAAGAGACATCCCACTCACCGGCCAGTGACCGCCGCCCCCAGCCAGTAACCGCCGCCCCCAGCCAGTGACCGCCGCCCCCGGCCAGTGACCGCCGCCCCTGGCCAGTGACCGACGTTGCCTCGCCACATGGGCGGATCTATGAAGGGTAGTGTGGGGGCAGCTGCCCCCAATAAAATCCTATTAATCCATATAATTTATTAGTAAATATTGAAAGTTTTAGTATTTGCCCCCAATGAAAAAAATTGATTGCCCCCAATACCTCAGCAGTCCGGCCGTCCGCTCCAAAGCCGTAAATAGGAAATTCAGATTACGGAATCACCCAAACCAACAAATGCAATTACGATTGACTAAGCTCAAATACGACAATTTGCTGGTGAATTGGCAAATAGCGAAGAAAACCTAGGCACTTTGATTAGTCGTGCCTCTCTGTTGTTAAGTCATAACGGAGTATTACTTTTTACATGAAGAACATCTATAAGATTTAATTTATTGGTGTACATCTATACAATTTAATTTAATTGAAGAGTTACTTAAATAATTATACATCTATTAGAGTCTAATTTCTTACGTCTCAAAGAAAATGTTATTTAATAAGTAAAAAATCATAGAGAAACGATGAGGTGAGAAGTGTTCCTTAAAATGAGAAGTGAGAAGTAATCTCAGCCCTTGAATTTGCATGTGATCTTGCAACGCAGTAACTACACACTGAATATAGTAACTTATAACCAATAAATCATAACTTATAAAGCTCTCCATCATAATTACGAAAATGTCACCGCGTCCAAAAAAATTCAAGGTTTCCAGGCTTATTTTTTTGCGGTGGCATTTTCGTAATTATTTTCGACGGAGTCTATAAGTTACGATTTATTGGTTAAAAGTTCGTGTTTTTAGTCTATTAGTTAAACTTCACAGTTCTCAGCCTAATGACACTTCTCACCTGATCTACTCCCAAAAATCATAACTCTAAATCACATTTTAAATAAAATGTATCAATGCAATAAAACTTTAATGGGTCTTTTCCAAAAGATGAAAACTTGGTGCAAACAATTGTTATGTATTTTGTTAGAAATTTTGTCATTGTAACAATATTATACAATTATACTTTATTACTACACTATTTTATTATTTTTTTGTTGTACTATATTACTACCTTAATTCGTGCATAGGATAGAGGCATGAAGAGGTGATGCGCTTATAATAAATGATTTTGTGTGATTTATATTGAATTAATACATTAAGCATAAAGTAAACATGATTTAAGATATTTTTACACTGACTTATCTTAGTCTCATATCAGACCAAATTTTAACAAATCAGATCAGACCAAATCAGACTTCTGCAGTCATGAAATACACAGAGACTAAACATCTACCATAACAGACCAGACTAGATCAATTTAGACAAGACCGAATTTAAACGGACTAGAAAAATTCAATCCAAGTAAAAACATCCTTAATTATTAGAATCGCACAAACCTTTCTAAATTTAATAAAGGATAATCTTAGTGAGACAGATCAAAAACATATGACATTCTTAGCGTGGTGGGGGTTATTTTTTAAATACTCTGCCCCCAATAAGCTTTTTTTCTGGATCCGCCACTGCCTCGCCAGTGACCGATGTCGCCTCGCTAGTGACTGTCGCCGACCCCTCGACCAGTGACTGCCTCTGCCCTCTAACCAGTGATTGTCGCCGCCCCCAGACAGTGATTGTCGCCGCCCCCGGATAGTGACTGTTGCCGTCCCTCAGCCAGTGACTCCCACCGCCCTGCCTCCGGCCAACACCGCCAGTGAATATAAAATTGCATGCAGGCAAGTCGAAATGTAATTTGTCTAATATAGATTATAAAAAATAAAACATTGATTACTATGAATAATGTTTAATATTAAGCTTATAAATAATGTTTTTTTCTTTCATAAAATTATTTTTTTGCCAAAAAATCATTTTTTCTCCAAACAAATCAGGTTTTTTTGCAAACAAGTGATTTATTTGTTTCAAAAGTAGGGGTTTACTTAAACAGTGAACATGTTCTATTTTTAATATTAAAGGCATAAAAATGTTTTTTTTTAAAATCACTTTTTGCCAAAGAAACAATTTTTTGCCAAAAAAATATTTTTTTTGGCAAAAAAATGATTCTCTTGTTCAATAGCAGGGCTGTATGTTGTGATGTAACTTGTGTTGTAGAACATGTGACTCTCGTTGATGGAAAATCTAACTTAAGTGTATGCAAATTGTAACTTGTTAAGGTAAGTCTAAATGTAACTCGCTTATAGGAAGATGTAACTCACGAATAAATAAGATGTAACTCGCGCATAAGAAGATGTAACTTCATATACTATCAAATGTAAGCAATGAAAACAAAGATTCTAATTGCAAAAATTAATTTACGTAAGTAGTTAACATGTTTTGTTTTTAGTACTAAGGTCATAAAAACGTTTCAAAGAAAAATAACTTTGTTTCCAAAAAAAATCATTTTTTGTCAAAAAAGAGTTTTTTTTTTCAAAATAAATCATTTTTGTTTTTGCAAAAAATTGTTTTTTTTTTGTTTCAATAGCCGGAGTTTATTTTGTGATGTAACTCGTGGTATGGAAACATGTAATTCGCGTTGATGCAAAATTTAACTTAGGTGTATGCAAAATGTAACTTACTAAGGTAGGTCCAAATGTAACTCACGCACAGGAATGTGTAACTCATGCACAAGAAGATGTAACTTTCCCATAAAAAGATGTAACTCTGTATACTATCAAATGTAACTCCAGAAATTACTTATTATAAACAAAATTTACACACATGAAAAATGTAATCTCATATTTTATCAAATTTAAATCGAAATAAACAAACTTAATGTCTTAGAAACATTTAAAACATATAAAAGAGATAAGAAATATATTATCAAAAAGGTTATGAATATGAAAAATATATTTTAAAAAGTGTATACATATAATAAAATATTTATTTTGAAGAAAAAATAATTAATTTTTCGTTGTAACTTTAGTTGAATAATAAAAAAAGAAAAAAGTGTATCAATAAGGACTAAGAGAAAGAAAAAGTAATTATTTTATTTTGAAAGGATGAAAACTTGATCACAAAATTTTAACCGTACATTCCAGTGTTCTTAAATTAAAAAACATTTGGAAACATTGAAAGTAAAAAAAGAAAAAGAAAAAAGAGTTGTGGGTGCATGGGTGGGGAAGGACATTCAAGTGTGCAAGTGAGTGGAGAGACCACGTAACCAATTAACCATAGCATGCAACGTATGTTTTGTTTCTTTAAAAAAAAGGTACCGTATTGGGATCGGTATACCATGCGCACGGTATACCG